AAAAAATTAAAAATTAAAATAATAATAAAAAAAACCACGGCCACCCGGAAGGGATGCTGACCATTAAACCAGGGGGGCTCCAATGGGTAACGCACGGGCGAGTCCAGCTGCAAACACATAACAACTGGCTCAAAGTGTTGTGTTGTTGTTGTTACGTGAATCAATGCCAACATTTAAAAAAATAGGAGACCTCACATAAAATCCAGAATGTCGGCTTTAGAAAATAAACTCTCACGATCTGGCAGTACTGGGTCCGCATTCCTACATGGCAATGACTGATTGTCTGGAGCTGCCCCCTTAAGACAAGCCGTGGGAGCTCCCTTTGCCACAGTCCCTACCACTCCCTACTGCCCCACACCGGACTGCTGCCTTCATTCGCCTCACCTGCCGGAGGCAGCGCCGGGGGTCTCAACTTTTATGTCAATAGTGACAAAGCACTGCCACATGCGGGGATTTGCTTTTAGGCTATTTCGGGCGCCTGCTACTGAGCACCTACTGTGTACAAGTGTGCTCGCTCATTCTTGCGCTCCCTCGCTCTCTTTCTCTAAGAGCTGCATTTAAGAACACTTACTTTGTGCCAGACTCTATATTTGGTGGTTTTGAGCACCGATCCAGAAGCCAGACTGCCTAGACAGGTGCCTACCCCAGGACCATGTGACTCAATCTCTCTGGGCCTCTGCTTCTTCCTCTGGGAAATGGAAGAATACTGGTACCCACCCCATTGGGTGGATACGAAGACTAGATAAGGCGAGGAATACGTTCAAGGCGGTCTGACCCCCGGCAAGGGCTATATATCGCGTTAGCTGCTCTTACTACTATTACCACCACCCCTGGATCCCAGACCCTGCCAGGAATACTGATCCCACTTCCGACAGGACACACAGTACTTTAGCATGAGCAGCCCAGCTCTGTCCCCACCCTGCTCCGCCTCTCCATGTGACCCTGGACAAGCCACTGCCCCTCCCCAGCCTCAGTTTCCCCATCGGCTCCATGGGAACGCGTGGCCCACCTCGTGCTCCGCCTGGGGGAAGCGCTCCTCCACGCACTGGTGCAGCTGCTTGAAGGCAAGGCGCATGGCAGGCGGGCAGCGCCCCACGGAGCCCACGATGGCCTCCACGATGGGCCCCAGGTAGCCGGTCAGCAGCCCCAGGCTGGCGTCCCGCACGTGCTCCTCTGAGGGTGCGCCCTTGAAGGAGATTCTCCTGGGGAAACAGAGTGGCTGTGCCTCCGAGCGCAGCCTCTGTCCGCTCAAAACCCTCCCCCAGCCCCCACTGAGCTGAGAGCACCCACCTTCCCATCCCCCCTCCATAACCTCCCCTCCTCCCGTTCCCGCCAGGCTTCTTTCTGCTGCTTAAACACGCGGAGCTCACTCCTGTCGCGGAGCCTTGTGCATGCTCTTCCCTCCGCCTGAGACACTCCTGCACCCACAGTTAGCTTAAATGTCCCCTCCTCAAAGAGGCCATCCCTTTCCCACCACACATCATCACGGACCCTGGTCTGGTGCGTTTTCAGCAGGGACATGCCGGACACACGCTCCCACCTCAGGGCCTTTGCACTTGCTCTTTCCCCTGGCCTGGGATACTCTTCCACCGGATCTGTGCATGCCTCCCTCCCTCATCTCCTCCAAGTGTCTGCTGAAAGGTCCCCTTCTCTGTGAGGCTGTCCCTCTGACCACCCTATGAAATCCTGCAAGCCCCTGCTCTGCTCCCACAACCCTTCCCTGCTCTCTCTCTCTCTCCATTCCCCTGAGCGCCTTCAATGACCTTCTTTAGTTGGCTATCTCCCTCCCCCTGGAAGACAGATTTGGGTCCGCTTACTCCCTGCTCAGGATCAGTGTTCAGCCGGTGTCTGAACAATAGGTTCTCGACGATTGTTTTGTTGAGTGGATGATGGAATAACACTTTTCTACCTGCAAGGTTCTTGTCCCTTCTTTCTTATTCCCACACAGGTTGTAGGGTCTGTCTTGCCCGCCTCAGAGTTGGGATTCGAACCCAGGAGCTCAGTTTCAGAGTCCTGCCCGTCACCACTACACTACCCAGCCCGAGGATCGCGGTGCTCCCAGTGAGGCTTTCTGCGGCAACGCGGAGCTCCTGAGCAACGGAGCCGGAGGGAGGGATGGCCGTTGGCACAGACCCAGGCTGGCAAGGCTCTGGGCAGACAAGGGGGCTGCCAGGGGGTTGGGGTTCGCCCCTGAGGCCTTGCTCACCTGGTGCGGCCCAGGTCCATCTTGCACGGGTCCAGCTCCATGTACTTCTTTTCCTCGAAGACACGGTTAATCACTGGCTTCAGGACCTCGTGCAGGTAAGGCATGCCCACGAGCTGAGGGCAGGGGGCACCACATGGGGCGGGGCTGAGGGGGAGGCGGGGGCGTGCCCACGAGCGGGGGGCGGGGGGACCATGCAGGGAGAGGCTCAGAGCGAGGCTGAGGCATGCCCAAGGGCAGGAGTGAGGGGCGTCTCAGGGCGAGGCCAGGCACCAGCCACCAGGAGCCCCGCGCAGCTACCCTGAACCAGCCGAGGCTGGCCAAGCTCTGGGCTCCCAGTAAGCACAGAAAAGGAGTCCCCTTGAGGAAGCTGCAGCTGGGCCCCACCAGGCCTTTGCGTGCTCACCTTCATAAACTGTTCCATTGCCTTGGATGCCAGGGAGTTAGAACGGAAGAGGGTGTTGGGGTCAGCTGGGAGGACAGAGGGAAGTGTTTGCTGGGATTTGGAGGCCGGATCCACCTCACCCCACCCACCCAAGGTGGGAGTCATGATTCTTCCAGCCTCAGGAATCAGGTAGAGCTGCAACATCAACTCCATTCACAGTCCAGGGGCCCAGAGTGGTTCAATGAGCGGCCTGAGGTCACACAGCTCAAGAGGAGCAATGCCAGCACCTGAATCCAAGACTGTATCCCCAGTTGGCTGCTGGTGCACAGTGTAGGGACCCCCCCGCCCCCACACACATAGGAGCCCCTGACCTCTGCCTGAAGCCCCCCGTTTCTCCCTCAGAGACCCTGTGTGGACCCATCCCTGGGGTATAATGTCTGGGGCTCATGCAGGCAACTCACTGGTCCGGGTCACCTCACGCCGGGTGAGATAGTCCAGAAAGGGCCCAGCCCGGCCCTGGCCAAGAAAGAGCTTCACCAGCTTGGTGGCAAGGTCCTGGCGGCAGTCCCCCAAGGTCAGCTCCTCCAGCACAGCCAGGGGACTAGCAGCATCCTCCTGGGCAAGGACAGCCGACAGGGGAGGTGGCCCAGGGTCCTGGGACCCCAAAGCAAGAGCCCCGGGAGGGATCCCTGAAGCACGGGGAGCCATCATCCAGATCCCCTGTAGAATGGATGCACCCACCTCTGCCGGCCCCAGCACAGACTCCATGAGCAGCTCCGTGAGCGGCTGGTAATACCGGGAGGGCAGGATGCGGTCCTCGATGAGGCGCACCTTCAGCCGCAGCGCGCCCAGGGTCCCCCTGACCGGGGTCAGATCGCAGGTGAGAGAGCAGTAAGTACGTACGCGCAGGCGCGGACGGCCAAGAGAGGCAGGTGTGAACACAGATAAGGAGCATGGGTATTAGCAAAACAAGGCAGATGGGGACAGGTGTGAGCAGGTGTGAACAGGCGTGGGCAGTGTGGGCAGGTGTGAACAGATACTGACGGGGTACACAGGAACAGATGAGTGCAGACAGAGTCAACAGATACTGCTGGTGTGGAATGACGTGGCCAGTGTAAAAAAAAAATATGTACACTGTGAACAGACAATGGGGGCAGGTGTGGATAGTGTAGTCCGATGCAGACAAGTGTGGAGAAGTGTGGACAGGTGTGGGTATATGTGAACAGATGTTGAGAGGGATACACGGGAATGGACAGGTAAAGTCGATGTAAACAGTGTGGCCAGCATAAGGTGTATACAAGAACGGACAATGTGAACAGGTGTGCACAGGTGTGGAAAGACCCGGGGTTCTGAACACACATTGACTAGTGTGAGCTGATATGTTCACGTGCAAACAGGTGGATGGGGTCCAAGGTGAACTCATTTGGACTTAAGTAAATGCACATTGTAAGACAGACATTCAATGAGTGAACGAAGTGACATGGTGACAGCTTGTGGGCTGACATGGGCACCCACCAGGACCTGCCCGCAAGCTGAAGATGGCACTCGACCTGAGTTCAGCCTGGCCACCTCCCTCCGCACCCACATTTACCCAGAATCCTCCTCGGCTCTGGGAAAGGGCAGGAGACGGAACCAGCCACTGGGTGCGTTCTGCTGCAGGACCTGTGGGGGGAACTCCACCTGCAGGGGGACACGCAGACCCTCAGCTGAACCCGAACTTGCCCAGCCCAAGGCCCCACCCAGGCCAAGAAAAGCTCTGACTGCCCACCCAAGGAGGGGAGGCGTAGCCTGCCAGGGGTCACCTCCCCTCCCCTACCAAACCCCATTGACAAGAGCAGCCACACTCCTCTCCCAGTCCCAAAGTACTAGCTCCTGCCAGGATGCCGAGGGCCTCCAGGGGACGCTTCATTTACAGTTGGGGAAACTGAGGCTTGGGGAGATGGAGCAACTTGTCCAAGGTCACACAGCTGCCAGAGACTACATATCTGGACTGAGGGCATTTTCAGCTCTTTTGGGGGACACAAATCGCACCTGTCTGGAAGCTTAAAGAGAGTCCAGAAGGCCCCTGAGCCCCAGCCCCTCTCTTTTAAAATAACTTTATAAAGATGTAATTTGCATCCCGTACAAGTCACGTATTTAAAGTGTGTAATTCAACGGCTTCTGGTCTACTCACAGAGTTGTGCAACCGTCACCACTAATTTCAGAGCATTTTCTATCAGCCCCCCAAACGCCTGTGCTCATTAGCTGTCACTCCCCATCTCCCACCCCCACCCCCAGCTCCTGGCCACCACTGGTCTACTTTCTGTCTTTACACGTTCACCTACTCCAGACATCTCATATAAATGAAATCATATAATCTGTGGGGACTGGCTTCTTTCCCTTGGCATGTTTCCAACATTCATCCACGTTGTAGCAGGTGCCAGACTTCATTCTCTTTTATGGCTGAGTAATATTCCATTGTAAGGATACACCGTGTTGTATTTATTCATTCAGCTGCAGAGGGACATTTGGGTTGTTTCCGCTCTTGGCTGTCACGAACAACTGCCTGCTGTGAACCTTCATGTACAAGTTTTTATGTGGATATGTGTTTTCATTTCTCTTTGGTGCGTGCCCAGGAGTGGAGTTGCCAGGGCATGTGGTGATGGTCTTTAACCGTTTGAGGAAGGGCCAGACTCTTCCAAAGCGGCTACCCCATTTACACCCCCGCCTGCCTACCCGGCCGGCTGTGCATAACCAAGCCTCCCTATAACTTGCTCTAATCTTGCATCCTTTTAAAAAAAACTGTCAGCCCTGACTATGCATCCATTCCCACTGAGAGGCAGGGGCAGTCACACCCATTTTACAGATGTGCAAACTGAGGTTCCAAGACAAAGACCTTGAGCCCGGTGCTTCCAGGAATAGGGGTTAAGGGCTGAGATTCTGGAGTCAGAGAAGCCTGAGCTCAGATTCTGGCTCTGCCCTTTGTTGGTCATATGGCCTTGAGAAAGCCACTCAACTTCTCTGAATGAACCCTGGTTTCCCCAACTATAAAATGCAGACAACAATCCCAGCCTCACAGGGTGGCCATAAAGAGTGCGAAAGTGAGATTATGCTGGAGAAGCACTTAGCACATGGTCGTCCTGAGTACCCTCACCCCAGAATGAGAATCTGGGCCCAGCCTGGCACCTTGGGCAGGTTCCTGCCCCTTGCAGAGCCTCTGTCTCCTCGCCTGTGCAATGTGGCAATGGGACCCCATTGCCCAGGCCTGGCCAAGGAGCCAGCTGAGACAGCTTTCACATCTATCCTTCCAGATCCCAGGATGCAAGCCCATCTCCCCTCTCCTTCCCTCTTGGAGGCAGTGGGGAACCGTGGAGGGTGTCAGGGGAGGGGGTGCTTACCATGCCCAAGAAGTCATTCTTGCCCACCATGTCCCAGTCCCAGAGCTCCACTCGCAGTGGGGCTGGGGCACCCGGCATCTCCCGCAGCTCCAGCACCTCATCCCAGTGTGGGAAGCGGGTCTTCTTGATGGTCTGGGGAGAGGGGGAGTGAGGCAGAGCTGAGGAGGCCCTGCCTCCATGCCCGCCCCTCCCCCGATCCACGCCCCCACTCACTGACGTCTCCAAACTCTGGCTGCCCCAGAACACTCGTGCGAATGGGTCAGATGTGCCAGTGATATCCCGGGGGGCCAGGTCCCTGCGGAAGATGAGGAAAGGCGTGAGGGACGCAGGACCCTTGATGACCAAGACCCAGGCTGGACCTTGGAAAAGGGGTTCAGGATAGACCGTTCAAATGCCTCTGGCCTCCACTGTAGGGACGCAGCAAGGAGCACCCCTCACCCTGCCCATCCAAGCCCAGTATCTTCCTGTTGACCAGTGCTACCCTATCAGGAGGCCCTAGTATGCCCCTGTATTCCAGATAAGGAAACTGAGGCACCAGAAGGTCAAGTCCTAAATCACAAAGCCCAGGAGGTGAAGATGCAGTGGGGAGTGGGAGGGGAGCCTCAGTTTCCCTGGAGCCCCTGGGCAGGAGACCAGATGCCAGGGTTCAAAGCCTGGCTCCACCACTCATTGGCTGGGTGATACTGGGAGAAGTCCCTTCACCACCCCGAGCCTCAGTGTCCTCATCTGGAAAATAGAAATAATAACAGATCGAACCTCACAGGGCCAAGGTTTGAACGAGATGATGTGTATAACAGGCTTAGCTTAGCAGCTGGCCAGATGGGAGTGCTCGTTCATTCATTCATTCCTTCATTCATTCAACAAATGCTCATATCCACACCCTGCCTAGGATCCAAGAAAAGGCTTGAAGCAAGGACCCCCTGTCTCTGGTTGCCACGACAACCCAAAAGTCTCACCTCAGTCAGTTTCCCCAACCCCTCCTTCCTGAGGTCCCCCAAACCCAGTGACAGCCCCCCACCAGGGGCTGCTTGCTTCCTCTTGCTTCTTCTCTCCCACCCCTGTTTGGCATCCAAAGCCTTCTTTGGTTTCCTAGGAGCCAGCCCAGTTGCTAAGCGACAGCAATCAGTCCCTCTCCTGCTTGCAAGGATCCTGCACAGCCTTGTGGCTGGGGAGGAGGCCACTGGCACAAAGCAGAGGAGGAGCCTCCTGTCCCATGTGCAGTCCTTTTGCCTGTCCTCTGCAACCCTGGTACTCCATCCAGACTCCAGAGAGTCCCAGCTGGAGACAGAGATCTGGAGACGGTGGGAGAGGCACAGAGAGGGCAAGAAAAGGCTTTCAGGTCACACAGCAAACCAGAAATAGTGAACCTCCCCAACCTGAGTGAGGACTGGTCTAAAAGTGAGGGTTGGGGGAGTAAGGTGTGAAAACAAGGCAGAAAGACAAGATGGGAGATGAGAGGGGGAAAGGGATGGGAGTATTGAAGGAAGCAGAATGATGGGGGAGCTGAGGAAGAGAGGAGGGAATTACATAGCAATAAATAGGCAGGAGGGAAGATGGATATCCCATGAGCTGGTGCCCCTGGAGGGTAATCTGTGGGGTTTTGCTGATCCTGCATCCAACTTCCTTCTCCTGTTTCTTTGGGACAGGACCTGCCCCTGTCTCACACTCCCAGCTCACATAACTTAGGTAGGCTGATCCCTCTCTTCACTCCAGGAGTGGGTGTGGGACTCAGGCCTGACCCATCAGAGTCCATGTAATTGGTTCAGAGATAGGTATGTGCCCCAGATTGGGCCAATAAGAATCAGTCCTAGGACATTAGTTGGAAATGATGAAGGAAATTTCTTTTTCAATTGGACCTGCCAAGTTGGTAGGATGCCATCTTGGGACTGCTGGGGTCATCTTTGCCCACACCTGGAGAGAGACCGCCTGAGAATGAAGCTAACACAAAAGATAACCGAGAAGTCTATGTCTACAGATTCCTGATGTCACTGTTTGAGCACCTGGATCCAGCCATGCCTGAAGCTGCATGTCATTTATATAAGCCAATCTGCTTAAGCTAGTATGAATTGGGTATCTATCACTTACAATTTGATTAATACACCTCCACACTTTGGCCATTCTCAGTGTCTGACCTTTGGTTGCTGGTCACTGGGGACCCAGCAAGGATTTTGCTTGTGCTCTGACCCCAGGAACTTGCAAACCTGGTGAACATGGACTGTTTGCCTACAAGGGATCCTGGCTGTGAGCCCAGAAGTGCCCCAGGAGTGACGTGGTCTCAAAAGCCAAAACAGCTGGGAGAATGCAGCAAACTCTTGCTCATTCTCAGACCAACCCCACACCATCCCCCATCATGACCATACCTGGCCTGGAGCACATGACAATGAAGACAACGGCCCCGTGCATCCTCCAGCATCTGTACATCCAAGCAGATCTCACCCTGAACCTCTGCATCTGGGTCCACACGGCTCAGGTTGATCCAGCTATCAATTCCTGGAAGGCACAGGTGCTCCCATTTATTAAGTACCTACCAGACAGTGGCATTGTGTTAACTTAAAAATTCAATTAACATTAAATATGTATTAAGTCATGGACTTCTCATGTTAGCCTTCTGATGTAGGTACTGTAATTATCCACACTTCCAGATGAGGAAAATGAGGCACAGTGAAGGAAGAGCTTTGCCCATGTTCCCACAGCTAGTAAGTGGTAGAGCTGGGATTTGAATGTGAGCAGTATAGTGCAATGCCCTTCACCCTGTACTATCTCATTCTTCACTCTAATATACAAAACCCTCCATCATTTAGTCTCAACACACTCTCCCCTCACAAAAATGTTGGGCATTCCTTTCTCTGAGCCTCCCACCCGGCAGGGGGCAGTTCTCCCAGTCTGGAATCAGTCAAGTCAATTTCAACCTCCCTCCCCTACCCGCTTCATTTCTCTCAACACTTGAAAGATATCATCCACTGATTTCTAGCTTCCATTGTAGCTGTTGGGAAGTCATTGCAGCCTGATCACTGATCTTCTGTCAATGGTGTATCTTTTCTCTTTAATTTTAAGGACTATGAGTTTGATGTTCTACAATTTCACCACACAGGCAGGTAAGGATTTTTTTTTTTTTAATCCTGCTTACTGCAGGTTGTGCTGATTCTACTTCTAGAATCATGTCCTTCCTTGAGTTCTGGAAAATTCCAGTCATCAATTTTTGTATCACTTCCTCTCCCTTATTTTTTCTTTCTTTCTTTTTTTTTTTTGAAATTTGCAAATTATTTTTTATCTTGGAAAACAAATTTTTCACACAAAAATATGTCATATTACTCTGTATGGCTTTGTTATTGATAAATTAATAAACATTTTAAAATTTTGTCTTAATTTGTAATATAGTACCTACAGGTATTACCCACTTCGGGGTCCACAAAAAATTTTAAGAGTGGTAAAGGGTCCTGAGATCACCACACTTTTAACCCTGGTGGCTGCACATCTTCTTGAATGATACCAGCTCGATTTATGGCTTGCTCCTTCTGGTACTCCTCCAGCCACATTAGGGGCCGGAAGTAGATAGGATAGAAGGCGGCTCCGATTAGGGAGATGAAGCTGCCAAAGATGAGCACGGTGCGCAGGTTCCGGGACATGGCGCCGGACCCGCTGAGAGCCCCGCACGTTCTCCCTTATTTTTTCTATTCTTTCCTCCTAGGACTCCAATTAAATGGATGTTAGACCTTCTCAGTAATTTTCTATGTCTCTGAACTTCTCTTTCATATTTTCCTTCTTTTTTCTCTGGGCTAGTCTAAATAATTTCTTCAGATCTCTCTTCCAGCTCACTAATTCTCTCTTCAGCTCCGAATGATGTGCTGTTGAACTCAGCCACTCAGTTCTCAATTTCAGTCACTACTTTTTATCTCTAAGAGTTTGATTTGGTTCTTTTTCAAATCTATTTTTTTTTTAAGATTTTATTTATTTATTTGACAGAGAGAGACACAGCGAGTGAACACAAGCAGCGGGAGTGGGAGAGGGAGAAGCAGGCTTCCTGTGGAGGAGGGAGCCCAATGCGGGGCTCAATCCCAGGACCCTGGGATCATGACCTGAGCCGAAGGCAGACGCTTAATGACTGAGCCACCCAGGCACCCTTCAAATCTATTTTTTAATGTATTGTTTTACTTTATTATGATTATCGCTGGCCCTTTCTGGTGATTACATTTCTATTTAAATATTTTATTCCTTTTAAAATTCTGTATATCATAAGTAATAAATTCTAAAATCTTCATGGGTTCAAATCTGGTGGTTATTGTGTCTGCTGACTCTTGCTCATGGTGGCCCACTTCCTTGTGTGTGTGATGAAGTGTAGTCCCACCTCACCTCTCTCTGTCTTCACTGCTACCCCCAAATCCAGGATGCCATCAGCTTCCTCTCACTTGACCATGGCAACAGACTCCTAATTTATCTCCCACATGCACTCCTGTCCCGCTGTGATCCAGTATCCACAAAGCAGCCCAGAGATCTTCTGAAAATGTATCTAATCTCTCCTGTCACTCCATCTTCTGATAATATGGCTCCACTCTCTTCACTGTCTTGCTCAAGGACCATCAGTGGCTCCCTAGTGCCTCCAGGAGAAAGTGCAGACTCTAGCCTGGCACCTACAGCCTTCTCCAATAGAGACCCACCTAGTGCTCCATCTGCCCTGGCCTACGCCTGACACTAGAAGAGAGTCTACAGAGACACACCTTAGTGTCTTTGCTGAGGTACCTTTAAGAACCAACTCATTCCCCTTCATCCAGGAAACCTTCCTTGACTACACTAGCCCTCACTGCCCTCTTATCCTCATCCACTGTCATGCCAGTGATATTCCACATGCCTCTACCCCCACCTTCCTGTCCTGCTTGAAAAAACATTCAGACACATGGACAGCTTCCCTTTTTTTCTTGCTCCTTGCTTGTGTGTGAACGTGTTTTGTGTTTCTATCTGGTCCATAAGCTCCTTAAAATTTGGCCTCATACTTCATTCATCTAATTCCACCCCCTTGGGTGGATGTTTGAGGCACAATGGGTACAGCTTGGTGGACAGGTTGAAAACACAGACTTTGGAAGCAGACGCAGCCTGGACCCAACTCCCAACTCTGCAACTTCTAGGAGGGGCAATTGCCTTCATCTCTCCAAACCTCATTTCCCATCAGCCATAAATTCAAGATCATTCTAGTGCACACTTCACTTGGTGTTGTGAAGACTAAATATAAAGTGCTTAGCATCATGCCTGGCACATAGTAAGCCCTCATTAAATAGGAGCAATGATTATGATGATTAGCATGTAGGTTTCCAACTAATCCCCACTGATGAAAAAATACATTATTCAGTTATTGACATTGAGACAATTAGTAGTCATCTAGACAAAAAGTAATAAAGTTCAATCCCTCTCCATACCTTGAATCTGGACAAATTCCAAGTAGAGCAAAGACTTGAATGTAAAAAAGGAAAACAAATTGTTGCGAGAAGAAATCATGTAAAAAATTTTTATCTTAGAGTTGGGAAGGCCTTTTTAGGTATCACAGAAAATCAAGCGCCATAAAAACAAAAAGATGAAGTTAACTAGAGAAAAAGAAATAAATTTTATACATAGAAAAAAATGATAAGCAAAAACATAAGTGACAAAGGGAGAAAAACTATTTGCAGCTGATATGACAGAGTTAAATTGGCCTAATATGTAAAGAGCTCCTACAAATCAATAAGAAAAGCCAAACAACCCAGTGGGGGGCAATGCACATACAATGTAAATAAACAACAAACAAAAAAGGAAACAAAGTGACTCTTAAATATGTAAAGAGGCTTTCAATCTCGTTCATAGAGAAATACAAAATAACCTACACAAAGAGGCAATTTTTTTACCTCTCAGATACAAGATCAAAGCGTTTGGTAATTCCTGGCAAACGTACAGGGTGGGCAAATTGTTACCTCCTCCATAGAAGGTAACTTAGCAATAACTCTCTAATGTGCTAATATGGATACTCTATGACAAATCTACTTCTAGGAATTTATCAGACTGATTAATATCGCTTGCACACATGTGAAATCACATTTGTACAAGGCTATTCATGGCCGTATTGTTTGAACTCGGGAGAGATAGTAAACCACCCAAGTGTCCATCAGTAGGGAACCAGCCAAATAAATGATGATATATCCACACAATGGAGTGCCATGAAGTCAAAGATCAAAGAATGCGGAAGCTCTTGGGGCACCAATATGGAAAGATCTCCAAGGTACGTGGTGATGTGAAAGGCAAGGTAGAGAACAATGAGTATAACAGGCTGCCATTCCTAGGAGCAGAGAACAAAACACATACAGTGCTGTGTTAAGAGCACAGACTGGATGGAGGTAGACAATCTTGGTTCAAATCCTGGCCATCCCACTTAATAACTTTGTGATTTGAGGCAAGCCATAGAACCAACCCCCTGTGCCTCAGGATGTTCACCTATGGAGCGGGCAGAATAAGAGTACCTACCTCACAGGGTTATTACAATAATTAAATGAATTGATTCATGTAAAGCACCTGGAATAAATAAACCTATTTAAAATATCTCTAGAGGGCGCCTGGGTGGCTCAGTTGGTTAAGCGACTGCCTTCGTTCGGCTCAGGTCATGATCCTGGAGTCCCTGGCTCGAGTCCCACATCAGGCTCCCTGCTCAGCAGGGAGTCTGCTTCTCCCTCTGACCCTCCTCCCTCTCATGCTCTCTGTCTCTCATTCTCTCTCTCGCAAATAAATAAAACCTTAAAAAAAAAAAAAAGTCCTCTG